GCAGCATACAAAGCTTTTTTTTAAACGAAAATCAATGTTCTTATTATATTAGGAAAAAATTCAACAAACTTTTTATTTTGAAGACTTTTTTTGTCAATTTTTCCTAGGCCGGCTGAAGGCAGCAATGGGGACCTAACAATAGGCTGCACCATAGGTTACGATATTAGCTGCAGGGCTCAGGTGTGGCTGTAACCTGAAACTAGAGCCAGGTATGTGGTGGGCGGCCGACAGAAATTGCTAGTGTTAAAATGTACAGACAGAAGTTACCGGCGAAAGCAAAAACCTATTTGACTGCGCATCTTTAGATCAGTTTCAACATTTTTCACTGGAATAGTGATGGCAAAGTAAAGGCAATAAGGATCATCGAGCAGTAAAAGAGAGGTCGAGTATAATGGGAACTACAAAGATGAATCAGCTTTTTACAGCAACCTGAAGTACAGATACATTCATTGTGCTACATCGAGAGCTTGTCGGTGGTAGAAGCTCGTTCCAATGACTGAATTCTTCTGTACTATCACCAAAATCCTGGGATTGCATTTCAAATAGTTGTGCTTAATATGGAAAGACTGCTTTTAAACCTCGTTTGGCTTTCGTTTTCAATATTTTTCTTAAAGGCAGACTCTTCAATCTCCACAGGTAAACCTGAGTTTTAATATGTTAAAGAATGGCACAGAGGTAAAAGTAAATACATTTCAAGATTTTTTTAGACTTAGAAACTTTGTTCATTTTTTAATCAAATTAGCACTTATTTCGACAGAAACAGAGAAGCCATGTTTTGCACAGAGGCTGGGTAATGACACAGACAGTCTGCAGGATCTAAATTTCTAATGGTTCATTGATGCAACATTGTGATCAGCAACAAATTGTGCAAGCAAAATGTTGCGTAAAGTTGGGACTAAGGCGACATCTGCTTCTGATTTTAATAGATTAATGGTTTCTGGGTGAAGGACCATGTGAATACAAGTGATTGATTGAAAAGATTAGTACTTGTACTAATAGGTAGGAAACAGTCACTGGACTCTTCTCTCTTCCCTCCTACTTCCTGAAACTCCATCGGAATCCCTCTGCCTCGTTCTCTCTCCCCTTTCCTTTAGAAAATCCTGTTCCCAATAGCAGAAAACATTTTGAGAGAAACTCCCTTCCCCTTTTGAGTATTGCCAAGGGATCGTTCATGTCCACCTGAACAGACAGACACAACCTTGGTATAACGTTGTATCTGAAGACAATGCATTGAGTCCCCATCACCCATCATTACACTTGAGCATCAGCTGTGATTTCAAATCCCCAATATTGGACTTGAAACACAGCTTTCTGACACAGAGGGGAGAGTGCTACCAACTGAGCCAGGCTAACACCTAGAATTGTGATTGTATGCATTCCAAGATAGATCAGAAGAGTTTTGTTTGAACCATTTGCCACATGATAAAGATATTGCGAGTAAATACAGTACATCAACAACAGGTGTCAATAAGACAGATACATCACTTCCCATCTAAACTTAAAATGTACCCTCCAATATAATATTGAAACAAGGGGTATTACAATATACAGTTTAAAATATAAATATTTCATGACCTTTTGAGGAAGGAGAAAGCAAAGAACGAGAATAAATAAAAACTCAAAGAATTGAGAAGCTAAATCATGGGATTTTGGAAATAATTTAGTCACAAATGGTGAGTAAAGCATCAGTTCTCTACCTGTCTCCTCTGTATAATACCAGCCCATCTGGACATTTAATTAGTCTTTTGCAAAATGAAAATGAGTTGGGTGAAAAGTCCCGGAGACTTGCTGTTTTTCCATTCATGAAAGACATACTTTGGCCACCAAATTACATGCAACAGGCTCTCATTTAACCTGTAAATGGGGAGGAAGACATTCCTAGCCTTAGCCTCACAGTTTCAAACTACATTAAATATAAAGAATGGGAAATAATGTTCAAAGAAAACTATAGTGCGATATACAAACAGCCAGGCCACGATGTTAGGTTAACTGTAAGTAAGGAGCTCCGAGAGAAGTTCCAGTTAAAAGAATATTAATATCTGTAATTGCCAATTTTCTCTTAGACATCAGTTAAAAAGTGCTGCCTTAGAAAATTGGATACATAGTACTGTATATGTGTTATAACATTTGATAATAATAATCATCCTTGCATATGATATAGCGATTTATCACATCATTGAGACATCTCAAAGCGCTTCACAGGATATACTGTAACGTGTATTTTCTGTGCGAAATTTTTGAGATATGAAAAAAACTTTACATTTTCAGCCAGTGTACTTTACAAGTAAAATTTCATTTTCAGCTTTAAGTATAATGGCAGCACAATCTGTAACAGGCCATCTGCCAGGCTCCACATTTACTCAGATTCAGATACAGGGAATGTTATGGTAATCAGTCTGTTGCATCAATCCATACCAGAGAAACTGGGTTAACCAGTGGATGGGAATATGCAGTCACAGCTCCTGAGTCTGGGTCAGATTCCAACTGAGCCAGCAAAGGGAGATGTCTGGGTTTTTCAATTTCTTTAAAGCATATCTGAAAACACAACTTGCCCTTGCTACGATCCATTGAATCCCTCTAAACAATACCACTAACAATAGTTCTTAATCTTTAATGTCTGAATCACATTACAGGAACTGTACCAAAAACTTATAGTGCCCCTTGTCAAATAATGAGAGCAGGCAGTCTAGAGAATGGTTGGCTTGTAACTTGTCAAAGGAGCGCTGTCTAGTTTGAAAGTGTTTGGGAAACTTTTTGAGGAAGGAAAAAGCAGAAGAGTGAGAATAGTCATCATTTTTCTCGCTATGTTATTGCATGAAAGTGATGCATAATTTAATTCATTACATGGTGTGTTTTCTATCAAGATTTGCCAAACACTTTTTAGTTTTTAAGGACTCATAGAACTTACTAAATGATTTATGGCTCGAGAGTGTAGCATTCTTACAATCACATCTCAGATGTGTCTGTATTCATCTTCCCGCACAAAAAGGAGCTTATTGTCCCTTAATCACTTTGTTGCATAGATCAGAGCTTTTTTACCGTACTTGAGGCTGTGGAATCACATGAAGTGTGTCCAGCAGTTCTCCCCTGACCTGGAAGCACTTAACTGCTGTCATTAAGTCATCGTTAACCAACGTTAAAAAGGATATATTAAAAAAACTGCTCAGTGGACACAAATAGCTTCCTTCATAACAAGAGACAGGTGTTCGCGATTTTTGTTTACTATCTGGTACATTTGTGACTAGTCCTGTTTGAAATTACAAATTTGTAACAATTCCGTAACATCTTTATGATAGTGTTGGTTCCTTTGCAGTGCCGAATGTAACAGATCCTTCGCAATCAACAATTGCTGATAATACCACATCTGTAAGTTGATAGATTTAACTTGACCTAACAGCATTATCGTCTATGGTTTGAATTGGACTCAGCTTTCATGCTGCAAAACATGAAGGGCTCAGTAAAACTGGTTCTCTAAGACCAGGCAAGCTTACCATTGAAACTTGAATTGATCTTCCAAATGCCATTAATTGGACATTGTTAGATCAATACAGTGATCAGTGCTACAGCTATTGAGAAATTAGTCCAATTATATGCATTATCCCAGGAATGCATCTGTTCAGAAGTAACCTTGCAAGAAACTGACTGTATTTTAAATACCTTTCTACCTTTTGTGCTTTTGTTGAGGAAATGTAGGAATGAGATCGTGATTTCAAAAGCATGCTTTGAACGAGAAATAAATTAAATAATGATTAACTTCATGCTTAAAATATCACATTAGAGGATTTATTCTCGAACATATTTTTTTTGCGATCAAATCTGCAAGGCCAAGTCACTTGTGCACAAATAAGTTAGTGAAATTGGTAGAATATAAGGACAAAAACTAAAGTCATCCATTAATTCTATTCAGTGATTCCCTTGTTGGGGACCTGACTTTAAATTCCAGCCCCAGTTATCATTGGACTTTAGCTATTCCAACTTCAGCCATCTCGAAGTAAAGAGTTGCTACACTGGATCCTTTCATTTATTTCACTGCCTCTCCTGAATGCACTAAATAAACTTCCATAGGCACTGGCTGCCCACTGGAAACTATTCATTGCCCGACCCTACGGTCATCCAACATCCCAGCATTTGCCCTGTGTAATAGACATCTCAACAAGTAGCAATCAGACGTGGTAATGCTTCCTAGCCAGAGGGTTATGAGGGCAATTGTGCCCCTACCTCCATTCTGCCTCAGATCACTTGAGTACAGATCAGGAATCAACACTGACGATTTGAGAGCCAAGTTACATCACAAAGGTGAAAAAAAACAAGGACATAAATATTTCTTTTCTTTTAGAAAGTAGAGAATTTGTACTTATGTTTTCATAAAGCTTATAAAAAGTGTATGTGCAATTTGCTCATAAAGGGGACGAGGCACAGCTAGGTGCCATTCCAATTCTTAACAAAAAACATTGTGAAGTTGGGACTGCTTAAATTGAATCTCGTCCCATTTTTGTGAGAATTTCTAATAAAAGTCTAAAATTATTTTCACAGACAAATCCAGCACCTTATAAAGTAAACATAGCAGCTATTGTGGCTCCATGCGTCATTGCAGGGGTGATAGTTCTGGCTATCATTCTGTTTGTTCTGATTTTAAAACTGCGTGACAAGCGTCAGACTGAAGGAACGTACAGCCCGAGCAATCAGGAGCAAACTGGATCGCGGATGGAAATGAACAGTACTCTCAAATTGCCACCAGAGGAGCGGCTGATCTGATACATTCAGGCACCTGTACTGTGTAGAGAGTACTGTGCTCAAAGAGTTGTGTTTATGTTGGGAAGAATATAAAAAAAATCCAGCAAGTCCCAGGTATTCCCTGTACTGTATTATCAAACAACCTAGGAGGAGTTGCAATTGTTGTGAGGCTTCAGAATTGAATGTGTTTTTCGTAGCATGGCAGCTTCAAAGCTAACCCTCTGTGGGTTAAACTTTTCTTTAACTGTTTTGACTCTGTATAACAGGACTTGGACATTTGGACCTCAGAACTTCTTCTGTACATTGGGTTGGTGACCGTGGCTCTGTTGCTGATTCTGCTTCTAGCTCTCGCTGCCTTCATTGTGGCCTTGAATAAGAGGGCAACACAGGGGACCTACAGCCCCAGCCGACAGGAGAAGGAGGGGTCACGTGTGGAGATGTGGAACATGGTGCAGCCTCCTCCAATGGAGAGATTGATTTGAACAGGTTTATAAAAAAAAGGAAGCTTGGTGAACCTTTGGACCAAGCTGTATGTAACCAGGCTTCAAACACCAAGAATCAAATTCAGCAGGTCACAAATACTAACATTACTGAGGTTTAAAGTATTTGACTAAATAATTGATTGGGCATGTCTTAGAGTGCTCTTAAAATCCCAAGTAACTTAAATTCTCCAACAATTTTATATATTCCTCCCCAAAAGTCAATATGAATGGTGTTATGCAATATATGGACACAACGGTATGGACCAGCAGTTATAGCTTCAGCGAAGGAACCAACACTATCTTTGCTGAGATACGTTGAATCCTATTATACTATTAATTTCCTTGATTCTAGGTTTAACTGTTCAAAAACAATGCTATTCTAATCACATTCTGACCTCTCACCTCCAGAATGTAGATTTCCCCTTAGTTGTGAAAAGGGAATAGGTTACTCCTGTTTAGGCTATTTCTTATTTACTCTATATTATCTGCTTCTATGAGCATGTCATTTTCACCTTAACTAGCTGCCCAAGCAGTCTCTAAACTAACCCAAGAGAACCCTTAAGGGGGTAAAGAAATCTAAAATTCTCCTTATTGTTTAGATTGTTTTTTTCCGCTTACAATAATAACATGAGCATTAGTGTTTGAAAGGGGTCCAATCAACTTGTCATGCAATTTTACGCATGCATATACTTGGCCTATGGATAGGTGGGCGGGGGTGGTGGAATTAAGAGGGTTAGGAGCTGACTGAAGCACAATCCCATTGATTTTCCAATCCGAACACACTTGTGGCGCTCATATTTCACTTCGGCAAAATTGCAGGAACAAATGTTCACACTTTTCATTTCAGGTTCGGAATATCTGGGGAGCTCTTTCTTTTAAAAAAAATACAATCTTGCTTTTGCAGCTATAAAACGTTTGTGGTACATAGACAGAACCAATGCATTAGAGAGTAGATTCAACAGTGTTATGGTGCTCTTAATCCCTACCCTTTTTTCCATGACAGAGTATTAGAAACAAATGTTTAGATTAGAGCTCAGCTGTTGTGCAAAATTCTAAACTGACTAACTCTGAACTAGCAAACTTTTCTAACTCATGTAACTTGATAGAACAAACGCTTCAAAATATTGAGAAAGAAAGCAATGCATTTCAATTGGGCAAAAATGAAGTGTTAGGGTTAGTTTTCTTAGGTAGGATTATCCTGAATAGCCCAATTGTGTCACAATGCTCCGCACATGTGGTGAGTGCCAGTTCTGCCCTTCGCCAGGACATTAACTTGTGATTACAGTGATTCAAAGTAATTAATCGGAGCTTTGCTCAACTAAACACTTTGTTGCAATGGAAACTTCTTTCCTGCTGAACGTGAAAAGATTTCCATGTTAATGACCCAGGTTTAAACTCAGTACCAGTCTGCCTCAGCCACTCAAGAAGATTGTGAGAACATCTCGTTTTAGTATGTTTTATAGCCATGTAATGATTTGAAGTTTCAGTTATATTTTTAAGATGTCTTTTTGTTTAGCCTTCACATACTAGACTCCAAAAGTATTATAAAGAAAATTGAACTTGAAGAGAACAAACTATTCCTGCGGTTCTTGAAGATGATGCATTGGTTTTAACTTTATGAATCAGTAAATTTAAATTCTAGATTTGAAAATAGATTGAATATATAATTGGAGTCCTGTAGCTCAGCTGTTAGAGCACTTGCCTCACAAACGAGAGACCTGGGTTCGATTCCCGGCAGGACAAAACCTTGGGCAAGTTTCCTTACTCCATTCGCCTGATAATAATCCCTCAAGACACATAAAAAATGTGGTCACTTCAATCCACAACTGTTTGTGGGACACGGCTGTGCACAATTGGTTGCTGTGTTTCGTCCACAAATATATAGTCAATTACTTTACAGGATGTTCTGTGAAGCGCTGTGAGATGTCTCGAAGACATGAAAAGTGCTGAATCAAAATGCAAGGATTATTATTACAGAACACGTTTTGGTTCCTAATAGTTTTTTTGGCGCTGATAAGAGTTAGCCTCCATCCACTTCTGTTTTGCAGGGCATTAGACTGTCATGTATTTTGATGTCAGTGAAGAGCTTCATGTCAGCCCTTCGCTGACATCATACAGTGAGTGAGCTGTGGAAATGTATGAAAGTATACCCTTGAACAGAGTTGTGCTTTACCCAAGTACAATGTTGCAGTGCCTCTCTAAAGTTTAGTATCGCCAAATCACTTGCTCAAAAGTGGTCACTGGAGTCAAACTGGCGCCTGCAACAGGTTATCAATGTGCTCTAAGTGCTGCAGTGTAAACAGAAAAAGTTGTGACATGGAATTCATTCAAAAGGATCTATGAATGAGTGTGACTAACGTCACGAAAACTTAACAGTCGATCAAAACAATCCGAAGACGCACAACTCTAAAATAATGGAGTTCCAGCTTGGAGAATCATCACAACCTCGAATTTGAACTCTCTCAGTGTTTGCTGACTTAAGTTTTATCATCAACAGAAACGCTCCACCTGAGACCTGGAGGAGGATGGAGGGGGTGGGGGGGGGTTGAAAGAACAATGGATTAGACTGAATTTAACCTGAAGAAAAAGCTCCCTCCATCCGATTGGAGTGTTGGCAGCAGTTGTGGACTTTTCTAGGTCCAGGATGTCCTTCGTTCCTGGTGGGAGGAGGAAGAATGGTATGAGAAGCAGCAGCACCGAGATCTAAAACAGAGCAAGTAAAAAATTATCTCAAAGGATGTTTTAATCCCCTTTTGTGTTGAGTTAATTTACTAGTGCCCTGAGTCAACGAGGGAAAATCATCAGCCAGGTCTCCTGCTGCTGATCACTATCCAGCAATCTTTGCTGAAGGATCACATGTGCATGGATATGCATTTAAACTTAAAAATAGCCACTGGGGTACAGGAGGGACTTATGCCCATCTATTGAATTGTAACTCAGTGGAAGTAAAAAATTAGTCAAATGTCTAAAGAGAGATGAGAAAATTGTAACGAAACATATAAAGTTGTTGAACTCTTTAACTAGGCAAGTTCTTGCTCAATTTCTCAAAAATGTGTTAGAAAACCAAAGAATGAGGTTCGTACTTTGGTTACTTGTTACAATGCCTTAGTGTTACAGTATTTTAACAAATATACCCGTCTCATTTTAATGTCATTTTAAATCATTGTGTTAATTGTTGGCAAGCAAACTTTAGTGCATTAATTAGACGAGAACAGTAGAGTAATAACATTAAATGTACACTCCTATTTGTATCACACGACCCATCAGTATTTGAGAAAAGGTCAAAGTCAGCCCACCATTGAAAGAAAAGATCACAATTTGCAAATCAGGAAGCAGGAATGAAATAATGTAATAATAAATCAGCTTATGTTTTCATTGATTTTACTTCTTTGAGGATTGTAAACAGGAATTTTGATGTGGTGTCTGCTTTCACTCAGATTTTTTGAACACATTTGATCTAAGAACAGTTTAAAAAGATGCTACGTGTTTTGCGAGGTCATTGTAATAAATATCTCTTCACTGTTAGTCGTTTACTTCTGTTCATTTGAGTTCAGTATGTGCTATTCATTCCAATTGAACTGTGCAATGCAATACTTGTCAAAATAAAATTTCACTGTAATTCTTGGTTCTAGAATCTGTGCTGAAAATGAAATTATACATGTGAACTCAATCCCAAATTTCACAGAGCTTGCAATATGTGTAAAACAAGCCTTTCTGTGCAGATTTTGTTCATCATCTGACAAGACATTTACATTTACACAAAATTGTATGTCTTTTGCAATTTTATATTAACTGTACTTTGACACAAGAAGTTCATTAAATTAGTGACTTTTTTGAGCAGCCAAGGTATAGTTGATCACAGTATTTTACTGCCAGTCATGTCATTTACATAATTGAAGTGAAAAAGCCACATTTTAAGATAAACTGATCTTGATAAATGTGACTTTTTCCAGATGACAAAATATGTGCAATAAGATACATAAGTATAACAATACTAAAATGTCTTTTAACTATTCATGAACCTGTCATATTGTAACCTGCTCAACCATTTCGTAGGCTTGAAGATGCTTCAATGCAAGGTCTCAAACTTCTCGATCACCAATAAAATTCAATTCTGGAGTTATCTGGGAGAAGAAACAGTTTAGAAACAGGTGAAATAATTTGCCAACAATCCGTGAACATATGTTCTATTTTAAGAAAACGTCAATCCCCTTTTGAACCATTTTCAAACCAAATTTAATTACAGTAACATTTTGCGAGGTCAGTCATTCACATAACTCTGGATGAATACACAAGTTGGAGCAAAGTGTTTTGTGGAGAGTTAGGATCATTTCTATTACATTAAAGTGTGTTTCACCCCAAAATAAAAAGGGGAATGTGAAGTGAAATCAAAATGATCAGGTACCATCGAACACGTTATAATAATAATAATAATCCTTGCATTTGATATAGCGCTTTGCACGTCGGGAGGACATCCCAAAGCGCTTCACAGAACACACTGTAAAGTGAATTGACTGTATATTTGTGGGCGAACGCGGCAGCCAATTGCGCACAGCAGTGTCCCACAAACAGTCGTAGATTAAAAATGACCAATTTATTATTGTTTTTATTTTTTGGAGGGATTATTATTAGGCGTGTGGAGTAAGGAAAGCCTGCAATTTTGAAGTAGAGCAGTAAAATATATAAGCAGACTTTTAAATCAAGAATACTGGTCATTCAAAAATAGATGTTTAAGCATTGGGAAACTTAAATACTAGAGTTATAGGATTAAGTTAAATGTTAATACTAATTTCTGTATTCATTTACAGTATTTGCTGTACTGGTTTTGTAGAGCTTAAAGGATACAACAATGACCAGCTAAACGTTATTTCAGGAGTTCATCTTTCTCTACCCACAGTAAATCAGATCCCAGTAAATCAATAGTTTTATTTTATCGGAGGATAATGTACTGCATTGAATGTGCAATGGCAATTTGCTTAGTTTCTGAAATGGGATTGATTAATGCCAGCAGAGAAAGTGATTTGTTTTTAATATTTTTTTGAGTTGGAAAGTTTTACTGTAAAACTCATTCTGCTTTACCCACTTTCTTTTCCAAAAAATAAAGTACTAATAATTTCTGTTTACGACAACATTCAGCAAAATCTGATGTAGAAGTCTTACTCAACTCTGCTTTACAGATGCTTGGCCTCTTGTCAAAATCTTGTAATCTCTGCAACCTGTCTGATCTCCTTGCCCACAGGGGCTTTCAAGCCTCAAGCCGCTGCATACCTACAAATGACTATTTTGTGCCTGTAAGACAACTGTTCAGCTTAACCTCCTCCTGGCCTTAGGTAGTATTTTCTGAGCATCTCTTCTTGCTTGCAGGTTCTAAATACTGCCTGCCTGATCTCCTCTGACTCACATGCACTAATGTTCTGTCCAATGATCCTTGTCCATAAATAGTAACTATCATCATTCTGTTATATTCCTGAAAAGCTTGTTATTTTGGTTCTCTACAAACACTATCAGCTTGCCACTCCCAATGCTACCATTTGCCTTTTCCCCAAGAAAGGAAATAGGTGAAATTATAAAATTCACTAAATTGAAGACGAATCATTTGGGCATGAACCCTTAAATTCACACTCCACTGTTCATTTCAGGTGCATTTGTAAACGTATTCAGTTCTTCTGCATCAAAAGATCATTTCAAAGATTGAAAAACAGAATGACACAATCAATAAAAAAAATCACTGGATCACTTTTTTCAAACTAAAGCAGAATATTAGTAAAGATGCAAGTGAGAGAGGATGAAAGCCTTGGGAACAGAGGTGGGAGGAACGTGAACCTGAACACAGACAAGCAACAGAGATGGTGAGAAAAGATTGTTATAGAAATATTACTTATGAAATTCTTGTTGCTGTAATGGGAAGATGGTTGGGTTGGTAATTTCAAAGGATAAGATCAAATGCACTGAAGGATCTGCATTCTGGAAATCTGTGATAAAATAACAGCGTAGGAATGAAACTGGATAAATTAGGGTAGAATAATGAATGCGTCAATCTGTGGAATAACAATAGAGTTGTGCAGAGTCAGTCATTGAGGAGACGCGTGAATTGACAGGTGGAAAGTGAGCACATCATTTGTTTTAGTGCCTGCTTTGATTTAAGTTCAAAATCATTGTACTTTAAGTGGTAAAATGATTCTTTAATAGTTGCAACCCCCAAACTATCTAAATACTAAAATATGACTGCCATTGGGAGCATAAAGCAAGATATATGAAAGACTTCACCTTCAATACTTTGGATTGAAATACAAGGTTGGCCTAACTTGAATACCTTCAAGGACAGTTTACATAAGAAACCATACAGAATCACCAGCAAATACAAGCAGTAACTTAAAAGATTGAGAATACAATTCAAACACAAAATCAATGTGTGAATGGGGAAAAAATCTGGTATTAACAATAAAATCATTCTTTTAAAAAAGGAAGCTTATATAAATCCAAACTCTCTCCCCGAGTACATTTTTCTCATGCTCCTGATCATCTTGTTAATTCTGAATTCTTCCTGAAAGAATTTCTGTGAGTCACACAAATGATAATGCAATCCTCCAGAACCGTTGGGAGACTGCATTGAACAAAACAATATTTATTTCTAATCAGCAGTGTGACAGTTCAAACGTAAATAAGAAACTAAACTTGCCTTCTCATTAAACAATACTGTATCTTCTATCAGTCATAAAAGATCAAATCTATTGAATTATTTACATTAGCCCTTTAAGAATGGAAGAATATCTTGCAGCATTCATAATACTTTGTCCCAGAAGTTACATATTTTGTAGGTGTCTATTTTGATTTGTAATGAGAAAGAATTGAAAATAATCTTTCTTTACAGTGTTCTCAGATTTTAAAAAAAGAAAATTGAATACGTTTTTGTACATTTTAGCTTTGAAATCCTTGGTATTTGAAAGTTATTTAATTGTCATGAAACTGGGTACTCAAATAATGATGATCCTATTAAGTGACTTAAAAGCTTTGCAATTAATTTTAACCAGCATATAAATAATATTTACACTTCTGTGCAAAGTGCCAATTGCCCCAAGAATGTTTTTACATGATTGTGCTGAAAAACATTTCTGTCATATTCTAGAATATGAATGTTTTTTATCTTGTACTTGTCATACTTAGAATTGTTAATATATGTATCTATATCTACAGGATATATTTAGTGTATATAGTTCTGTTTAGATCAGTTGATCAAATGTAAATATACTATTGAGAAAAATAAAATGTTCCATATTGTTCACGTTCATGTATAGTATTTGTTAAAGTATGTTGTTGTGCTAATCTGTAACAATACTAGATGAATTGTTTGATTGAACTAGCACTCCTATTTTACTTGCTTTGTATTGTAACTGGCTGAAATACATGAAATAAAGTAGTTTAAGATTTCAAAGAAATTAAGTTAAAATTGTGCCATTATTTTTGTTCAGCATGAATTACTACTATTTTCACTGTACTAAGCAGATGTTTTCATTGAAGGATTTCTTACCAGCCAGTGGTTGTCTTCTACTTTGCAAGAAAGGAGGCCAAATTAAACAAAGCTTCTCACTCCGTTTAATGGATAATCCAGTGGTGAACTGGCTCCTTTCATTGCATCGCTCACACGCCTCTTCATTCAGCTGATGTGAATAATTCTCATCTGCTTTATATGCCAATGGTTAAAGCATTTCTTCTTCAACAATGTTAAGTATGTTGTCATTCTGGGATTGGCTGGTAAATCAGTCAGTTACTGTAGATTCATAATCCAGTGTAAACAGAAGGCCCATGAAATAAAACAATGACAATTTCAGTTCAAATTTGCATAGTCTGAAATACAATTCAGAACCTGTACAACGTCAAAATATAAAAAAAAACACAAGGCACAGGAGCAACATAAAATTGAAATTTTATTGTTTGGCAAAGGCAAAGCACAGCTCTGCAAAGTCTGAAGAATATTTTCTTCAGTCAATGTTGTACAGTTTCTCGTCGTATTATACAGCAGCTTGGACAACCCTCAATAAGAATACATTAACCAAAAAGATCAATAATCCAAATTTGATTAACAGCCTATATTCGCTGTGGCAAAATGCTCACTTATTTCATGTCAAATTCAGATCTTCTGAATATTGGGGATATTCACACAACCATACCAAAAGCTCCATTTAAAATTTGAACAGTCAGAAATGCCAAAATCTGGTTAGCGATGTATGAAAACACAGTCATCTCAGCGAATTTCCATGGTCAATTAAAGTCAGGCCTCTGCAATCCAGATGTTGGTGTAATATTTGAATGGAGTAGAATAATCAGAATAAGGCATCACGTAAAATTGTATTGTGTTAACTTTCATAAAGATGAAAGGTCTCTACTACAGAGCTTCCACAGAAAATACTGGAAATAAAAATTGGCAGAGGGCTTTATAGAGATTTGGATCATTAAGGACAATTTAATGTTCAGCTTCAAAGGCCAAATAATATTTAAAACATTTTATTGTTAGAAATCCTGAAGCGTTTTTGTTGTAAAAATGTGATTTCATTGGGATACTACATTAAGAGGCGAGGCATTTAGTACACTGTTGTTTACAAAATTAGGACAGTTCAGGACAGCATAAAGGAAAACAAATAAGATGACAACTTCATAGATTCTATTATTCAATGAATGATTGAATATTAAAAACATGTTTAAACAATTAGGTAAACACTTGTAAAAAAAAAATTCTGCAAAGTGATGATTCTGAGTGTAGACTTGGAGTAAAAATTCCATTCACAGTCTTGTGCATAGCCTTCGGATTGATGTCAGCCTTCAATGGGAGTTTCCTATTAGTCGCATATCGATAAAAGTGGAATGCGTGAATCACTGAGCAGAATTTTTACCCACAAGTGAATGATTCATTTAAAATAATGGACCATAATAGAAATAGTAATGGAACAAGAATGGGCAACATATTTTTAAAAACACTTTAAATGGAACACTCTTAGCTTAAGATAGAGACTACCAACACAATGCATTCATGAACCTACAAAATCCACCTTCTGGTATGCAAGTAACATCAACTACATTTGAAAGCAGTTGCAAGAATATGGTGAATTTATGATGGATTAAATAAAATATGCATTATGGCAACACTGGAAAACACTAATATTCATAGATTACTACTATTTTACATGAATCGTTATTCATAATCGCACAAAGAATGATCTCTTCACTTCATTGCTTTCACTGGTAGTCAAAATGCCGCAAGTTTCATTGCTGGAGCTTAACTTATTCTAAACTATTCTAATACAAATGAGGTTTAAGGTTTTTAGAAAAACAAGGTGCAAAAGCTTAACAGCAAAACCTGGAAACAATTAAATTGTAAATTGAAATTCATATTGCACAGATCATTTGAAAGATGATAATATCCACTCTGGGTACCATCCAAGGCTGCGTTTCAATTTTGTTTTTAGAATCTCTGAACCAAAGACAAAAATTCTGGTACTTGAACAAAAGGTAGAATAATCAGCTAGCCTGATTTAATCATTCATTATTAAAAGAACCACTTAGATCAATCAGAATTTTTGGGAAGTGATTAATTAGCATATCAAATAAAATTCCTGTGCTATTTTATGTTTTGATATATAGTACAGTCTAACAATGACAGTGCATGTCACCTATTTACATACATTACACGTACTGTGTCGTGTTCCAGTTACGAAAATAAAAATCAGTACCAACATAACTTTGTTTCCTTTAAGGCACATGTTCCAGCCTTCACAGCCCAGCAATATCAGGTATGTTAAAGTTCAAAACCAATTAGAAACATTTGCTTCACATTATATATATATATATATAATGGAGTTCATTAATAACCAATTAAGTTAACAGCAGAAAAAAAATCAGGGTAGATGAAGATCAAAAATATACTGCATGCCTCAGTACCACAAAAAGAGTGCAAGACTTTTTAAAAAAAAAACTATCATTAAATTATCGCGATGTTATCTGAATATAAAAAATACTAAATTTAGTGTAGCACTGGTTACTGGAACTATCTGGCTTGTAAAGATGTTATCGGTTCTAAAATTCATTTATCCTCTTCTTTACATACATTAAGGTACCATATTCAAATAGGAGTACCAAAAGCATGTGGTTTTTAATCCCTTATATCCATCCCAGTGTTAATTGTTATTTACATGACACAAAAGGCATGTTAGCTATATTCTAAACACAACCGTTCACAAATAACAGTTACAGCATGTTGAACATTTGTTCAATACAAAACATTTACATCAACCAAGAGTATATAAGACATTGACTGTAGCCCGGAATTCCTATGTGAGGACAATGATAAAGTTGGTCAAGTTTCAAAATTGCTTCAATGACCAAAGTGTTGCGCAAAAAAAGGTTCACATGAACCATCTTTAATGGCTTTGGAGGAAAAAATTGTTCAATTTATTTTGGAAGACATGGATTTATTAAATCATCACTGGTTCCAACAGATTGTTGATTAAATAAAATGCATTATCTCCATAAGAAATGTCCTTTCTCCTTTAGGAACCAGTTTACATCTCCATTTCTGATACTTATTGCTTAATGATTTGATTTCAAGCATTTTTGGGTTTGCAATCATGCCCAAGCACTAAATATCTTATTAAATAGCACTAATTATCTTCTTTAGGAAGAACTTATGATGATTTTGGAGGACTTTGAGTTTATATTTTTAAGGCAGCAACCTTATGATAACTGAATGCTCTTGATCATTTGGCTTTAGTTTTCTCTATATTTATAAATATTTGTGAATCATATACATCTGTGTTCAAATGATTAAGAGGATTCAGTTTCCAGATATTTTTTGCGCTGAGGAGAAAAGAGGAATAAGAAGAGGACGGATTGAAATAAGGAAATGAATGATAGTCATTTATAACCCCCATTTCAAGTGCTTCTAACAGGTACAATCCACAAGCTAACTTGCATTCATTCTTTACTGTACAAGCATGTAATGAGCATGCATTATAATCTAATAGCAAGAAACAGTGTGAACCATACTGATTTACTTTGTTAGCCTAATTTAATAGTGACCAACCCTACCATGGTAATGCAATATACATATTACAAAAATGTTTTCTCAAAACACATATTCTTTTGGCATTTGAACACAACTTTCATTGCAACTTTTGTTGGTGAATTCTGTGACCATCAAGATGAGGGACGCAAGTTCTGGGAAATGAATACCATTATTTAAGACCTTCAGTGTCAGCATCAAACAGATCCAAATTGGGTTTGTTGGATGCACAGCAAAGCTCTTTCCACTGTGTCCCAACAATGTCCATAAACCACAAACTAAAAAGAACACTTCCAGTACTTTTGGAGTTTTCATTTCCCTTGGCCTCTAAGAGTGAGATTGCCTTTTTGAGCCCAATGTTTCGCAATTTAGACTTTTGGAGCTCACAAACAACGACAAGGAATTGTGCTGAGGCAACCCAAGAGCATTTCACGTAGAAGTTTTACACTCAACGGATGGAAGAAACTTGGATCTAATCCAGGTGGGCTGGATTGAAACTAATGTCTCAGAAATAAAAAGCCAGTGTACTAACCCAGTCCCCCAACAATGTTTTTGATACATTGCATAGATGATACTACTGCACTTCTATGCTAATACATTTTCCGGTCAAACATTTAATCCAAATGGCTATAGCTGATCTGAATTAGCAATCACTTTTTGCCCTGCGGCACGAGCAGTTTAAATTGTTAAGACAATTTGCATTGGTCTATTATCAGCAAAGCAGTGCGGTTTCACCTTTTTATTTTTAAACTCAAACATTTTAGTAACTCCATCCCTACAGTAGAACAGTCAATCTTTTGTATTCCACTTAAAATTTATGAAAAACGACTTCAGCTAGTGCACTTTCACTACACTTTGCTTTCACTGTTGGCAGTGGAAGAACTAGCACTGGAGATGGGTTGACCTGTTTCAAAACTAGAACACAAACAGTCAATTTCTTTCAGTAGATCTATTTCATTTGAGTCACCTTTTGATTTGATTAGAGAATCTTCTTTCTCCCAAGGAATCAGAACTGATGGGTATCTTGGTTTTACTTCCGGACATTGTTGCTCAGAAGTACTGTCTGCACTGGTTAGTGTTTGTTTTTGTTCCTTTACTTTAGGTGATATTTTCCCTTCCTTGTTGGATTCTATACCACAAGCAACTGTTGCTGTTGAAGTTGAGGACAATGATGAGTCTACAAGAGTTTTTGTAATGTCTGTAAAATCTTCAGCAAAAACACAGGAATTTTTACAAGCTTTCTTTTCAAGTGTGACTGGACTTTGAGCAAAACAAGGTGGTTTTCTTGGTGATGGGGGAAGAGGCTTTCTATGAACCACAGTGTCATCTTGTCCTAAGTGCCAGTCCAAATGACTTGCATCCTTTAAACCAAGTTCTGCCAGATTTCCCTCACTGGGAGTATTGGATTTGTTCTAAAAAAAATACACAAGAAACAGAGATATTAATGATAAGAAATCCCAAACTTTCTGTATATATGGTCAAGATCAGAAATTCAATGTCAAAACATAGAGAAGACCTTAAATCCTACAATTAAGTGAACATTTAAATCTCTTAGGCAAAACGATTATTGTGTCATCTTCGAACATTTAAAATAAAAGCTGAATATCAATTCTATTGCTCTTGAAGGTTTAACTGTGTATGTATCCAACAGACAAGAACTGCAATAGAGCACTTACCCCAGCTTTATAATTGATATCATCCATCGATTTGAAGAAATCTAGGCTCTTTGCAGCGTATAGCTTCCCTTGTTCTGAGCTGGTTGTACTGAGGGTATCTAAAATTTCTCCGAGTAGATCCATTTGGGCTGGATATTGTGACTCGAGATCCATCTGTTCAGAATCATCACTATCATCAATATATGCAGATACTTCTCCACTGTCTTCTGAAGATACCCTAAGAGATGTGAAGAATAAAATGATATTTTATTAAGGACTTAAAGAGGCACACATCAGAAATGCTACCCCTGTGAACAAAAACACTTTCAGTTTTAGCAGTGAGCATCACTATCAAGCTCTCTTATAGCATGGTCAGATTCACTTGGCTTCAACAATGTGCTATTTCCCTAACCTCAGGAAAATGATGCTCCACTGCATTAGTGTGGTTGTTTCCATTTTCCTCTGCAGCCTTCCTGAGTGAAATTGTGTATTGGTGCCAATTAGTGGCATAGATACAAAACGCTTATCTGTAAATTGTTAATGCTGCCATAACAGTAGAAAGGTTTACGAATCTCAAAGTGGCTGAATGACCTGAAACCAAACTGTAGTATTAATTTCCAAATAGTCAATGATTATTAACACAGAAGACCACTCAGAATCAATATTAAGGAAAACATTCAGTACTAATACAAATGCAGTATGATATTTTCAAACCAGTAGAGGTCAGCATTGATGCATTTTTTTTTGATACTGGCACACCAATAACACCCATTCTCTTATCAGAAGGAAATTAAACAAGGTCTTGCACATGAATTGCCAAGGTAGAAACAATCATTGTAAAATCTTAATTTTTTTTTACAACCAATTCTGACTGAACATTAATACACACAACTGTTTGCATCAAACATTAAGTTCCAATGTGAAATGATTTTGTACAATTAAATATAAATGGCAATTTGGCATTACTCCATACAATACAATGAAATATTCTGATACCTTAATTCTCTAATACAAATGTTTGCTGAAGTCTTCAGTTAAAAAGCTCTCCAGTTACTCAAAGTACAGAGTTTCCACTGGATCAATTACAGATGGCACAAGTTGCAGATTTAATGAGCCCAATATCTGTGCAGAGAAGCTGTGCGAGACAACCTCATGGAGGCAGTCTGACACTGCTTGTTTGCACCAGCTGTAGTAGTATATAAGTTTAAGTGTACAACCCCAATGAGGCTATGGATGGAGCTTCAGCTTATTCAGCTCGCTGATTCAAATCTTGATTTGTGTTGAGTTTGGGCTGCTTGGGAGGCTAAATTGAGGCTAAAAAAATAAAAATATACTTTTTTTTCCAAGAGGCACCAAGAATATGAAGTAATGAACACAATAAAACAATTCAAATGATTCCTTACTTGCTTGCTCTGTCAGTCTCGTCATCTTCTACATGATTACCAGCATGCGAATGTTGAGGGCGAACCTAAAAAAAATACAATTATGAACTGTACAAAACTATTTGAAATACTAATCATGGCTGTGGAAGACTTTGTGCTAAGTTTTAGAACTTTTGACCATGATCATTTCATTCCCCATCAGTTTTAAAAACAAAATAAGTTCAAAAAAAATGTAGGTGAAAATTTAATTACAATAACATTTCTCATGTGAGAGAATCTGTCAAGAAGCAGCCCTGGTATGAAGCACTTTCTTTTCCTGCATCAATATTTATCAGTTATGAATATGTAGGCAAAGAAATATAAAGCCATTATATAAGGCACAGATGTAGAGTGTGTGAGTGAATATTTAGTTTCAAACCAACCTTCTGATAGCTTAAATTTTTACCCCAATTCTTGACAATACAAGAGAGAGATTAATATAAATGTATTAATCAAATGTACACCAGCCCAAACAAATGAAGCATACCAAAACAGCTTTGGACACCTTATACAATTGCAGGCTAAATGATATTCAGAAGTTCTAAGGAATATTTACTGGCAGTTGTCCATGCCCCATTGCCATTTCCTGTTATTCATCAGTATTGGCAAGTATAAAGGACAAATAAATACAAAGATCTTCATTGTGCCATCAGTTTTGTCTTCCTTTACCTTGAAGGCTCTTTATTATCGGAATTCATTTAAGATGAAAGTGTGTTATAAAAAGAATAGAGTGCACAATTAGACAAACATTTCCATCTATGGTTCTGGCAGAAAAAGCCAGAAACAACATCTTTGCTGAATCAGCACACAATTCCACAATAGAATAGTATTTTTTCCAGATATTGTGCCCATGCACAATCTAAGACTTGTACCATAGTTTGTTCAAGAAGAAAAAATGATACACAATACATTAGTTCTCCATCTGGTTTATTTTCATTACACATGAGCTCCCACTGCTGCAATGCACCTGCACTTCCATGAATTCACAAAACACAATGTTATTACATCTCACAAGAAATACATCTCCCTAATTGGCTTCTCACCCTCCTGGTCCATACCTTCAGTGGAAATACCTTTGGCATTCCAAGATATTATTCTTTCTGACTCCTTCTTCATCCATCCAAAGAACAAATCAACCATATGCAAGAACATGGCAGTTAGTCCTTTACCAATGCTGCACTACATTTGGCCACTATGTAGATGGGGGGGAGGGGGGGTGGGAGGGGTAAGGGAGAAGGCATAAATAAACATCTTTCTAATTTTCTTGACGGGGTAAACGTCTTTCTAATTTTCTTCACTCTTTGAGGAAAAGTGCCTAACCACCACTGCCACCTTTCCAAAGCAAATCTGAGAATAGAAACCCGGTGTGAAATAAATTTTAGGCATCTACACTCATTTAAGTGATGCGATACAAGCACCAAGTTGTTTGGGTCTGAAACAAACCAAGTGATGAGAAACCACAGAATGAGCTACTCAGTCTCTTTTCTCATCCCTTCCCCCAATGGCTCAGTAGGCAAATGGATTGCCTGGTGGGGAACTGAACCATACAGACCATACAGAAGTTCCCAGGATTTGAGTTTGTTGATCTCAAGCAGAATGGCAATGGCCTCAATGTTCCCTGAAGGGAGAGGAGTAATAAAGGTTCCCAATCCTGATTCTTATCAATGAACTATATGGAAGTTAGATGAAAGAAGGATCTTTGTTGTGTTGTTTTCCTTCCCTCGCCATGGTCAAATTGCTTGTTGACACTCACTCAAATCTCTGAAATTAAAAACGGCCAGATGGGAATCTTTAAAACCCACTGATCCACACTACAGTGTGAATCACCATTTTCAGGTGGAATAGGTGGAATGGGAGACAATTAAAGAAAGCTGGAGTTTAAAATAAAAGCAAACTAATTCACTCTCCCTGCTAGAAGATTATTCATAATGTTATTCAGTTTGACTGTCATTTTCATAAATCACCATTCTCCACATAAAATGAGCAACTTCTAGTCGTTCAAACATTAATTTTAGAGTGTTATGACAGGTTTCTTATAATTATTCTCAGAAGTTGCACAGAAAACTGTCTGTAATCTTCTAGCAGCAACCAATAGTATATTTGCACTATATAAAAAGAGTCTTTGTTGTCAATCTGCACTAAAAGAGCAAAAAAAAGAAGTGTATTAATGATTACCCATAGTTAATGTTTGAACTACTTGTTTGAATACAAAGGCTATTATCAGTAATGAGTGCTCTTTGATCCTACTGGATAAAACATGCTTTAATGTACTTCATTATACATTTTGTTGTAAGTACAACTGACTGGTTGCATGTGTTAATAAGCCATTTTGTTTCAGACAGAATTGTTTTAATGACTATTTTTGTAACAGCAGAACGAATAAAAAAGTACCTCATAGAAACCCTGCAGCAGTAAGCAAGAAAGGGTTAACATGCATATGGCTTTCATAACATGGCAACAGCACACATTTTTAAAAAAAATGCGGTGCCTTACACTGGTAAGCAGAAGTCATAATGAAGGTGATTATAGGGAGCTCTGATTGCCAGTCTCAAAATATTGTATTAATTGCTGACACTGCGGTCATAAATCTTTCAAAATCCCTGGATAAAATATATGCACCGGCAGAACTTGTCAAATACTTGCAAAAATAAATGCAAATAAACTCAGTTTCCTGCTGTTTGCAGTTATTTTTAAGGTACATAGAGGGAATTCTCTTATGGACATTCTGGCTGATATCACTAAAGAAACAGAGCATCATTTTAGTTTGCTTTCCCAATTAGTGACCACAGATCAATTTTCAGACCCATTAGCAATGATAAAAAAGCATGGCTGAGGGTTCTTTGGAGGTACATAATGCCAGGGTGCACACCAATGACATGCTTTATATTGCGGTTTTATTTTACACAAGGTTCCCTCACTTACAACTTATTATTTAGTTGTGAAAGCACCTTTTCACTTTAAATGAATGCTAATAGTCAGCAAGTACAAGACTCCTCTCTACTATTTTGTTTGTATTAAGTTTGTATTTTTCCTCTTTCCCCTTTTTTCTAAGTCACCACAAGAAACATCCCATACCCTTATAAAGACAGTGAACAGACAGTCTGCTTTCAAATGAATTAGCGTAGTCTGTAACCAATTGCTCAGATGCCCGATGTAATAGAATTCTTTTGTGGGATAGGGAATTGAAACTTTGGCTTCATGCTTCCACCAGTGAATTAACAGGGAAGTGGCCAGGTTTTGCTCCTCCATCACCATGGCACATATGCTGGACACCCTCCCAAAAAACCTTTAAATCTCATCGGGTACAATTAAAAAAATCATTTTTGTTCTAATTGAGGCAACTGGGCAAAACAGTAAATCTAATAATTCTTGCAAAAATAAGAGGTCAATATATTATAAAATGAATCAGAAAACAAAAAGCATCATTAATGAATATTTGCTTGAAACTTAGTGCCTTTAATGACAGAATGTTGTATATGTACAGCTTATCTTTAGGCTATCATATAAGAAGTTCAGGCATTTCCGTAATAACTAGATTGCACAACGATTAAGACAATACTGCGTGCATGTTGTTGCATGCCTAATGTCCCACTTGTATCCAGAGACAAAAAAACAAGATATTCTCAATAATTTAATGAGAACGTCAATAGGTGAAATACGTACTCGGTCAGACTGCTGAAACATTTAAAAATAACTTTCATTCACCTATGCTCAACATAAATTAACAGGAGTTGAGAATTAAGATGCTAAAATTCACTGTTCTTCCAAAATGTCTTCTATAATCCCTTATTTAGCCTAAGGCTGGCCATCTGTTATGGGAAATGTTCTAGTTAAGAAATACCAAACCAGCTAACTCAAGCAATTATAGACAGCAATGGCACACAAATACAAAAGCACACACACCAAAGGGCTGGAATCTTTCTCCTTAGTTGCTGCACAGAATCATTAATTTGTAGGTATGGGCAAGGAGCAGGGAAACAATTTGTTTTGGTTTTACTATTTGATATAGTACATTGATTTGAGTTCACGCACAGATGAGTAACACACCATGCTTTCTTATGAATTAACAACACACACCAAAATCAAAACAGACAATACAGTACCATTATAAGGCAGTAGAAGGGATCTGTAAAATTTCAATCTGCCTTATAACGGGAAATGATGAGTGCCTGCCTGTCAGCAAATGGCAGATGCTTGCAGGAAGCTGGCTGGCTTCCCATGCTAAAATTTGGCTAAATCCTGGGTCATCGGGTAACTGACGTCACTTTTTGTATACTGAGCCCCAACCAACCAGATCCACAGAACACTAACCTTATAAGTAAACCAGCATAAGGTTGCACCTTAAAGCAGGGTCCATTTGCAATAAAACGTTAGGGTCACAGTTAGGGTCAATTCAATATGGTTTTTTTTATGAAGTTCGAAAAACCAATTTCTTTCCAAGCACCGATATGGTCCCCAAATAGAAATTGGTGAATGGGCTGCAATATTAAAAACTTTTAAAATGTTAGAAAGATTGTTTAAAAGTCTTTTGGTGGACCACTGAGCTATTCTTAACACTTTTCATGTTTTTCAAGAGCTGGTCACGTGATAGTGAAAGTTAACCGCTGCTAAAAGTAATTTTTGATCAGGAAACAGAAATCATATCTTCTTCTCTGGATCATTCTACTGCTGGAAGCAATGGTGTGCAGTATAAACATGGCATAAATTATTAAATGCAGTGTTTATATTTCTGTAGTGAAAGAAAAAAAGGCTGCAAATTATTGTATTATACGATCTTCCAACATGCTGCACATGTTCAACATAGATTTGTCATGTGCTGCATAATGTTAACCAAAATGCAGTCTACTTTTCTTTTAAAATACCAGCTTCAGTTCAGTTTCTTGACAACAGAACTTAACCAGTTCAATTTAAAAACTCGATTTGTCCCCTCCCCCCGTCAATGTATATCATCACAATTCATAGAACACAAGGATTGAATATTAAATAATATTAAAGCCTATTCATCTTTAGTTTTCTTTGAAGAAATAATAGTTTTGCAAGTATTTAA